GAATAGGTAAAAATAGAAAATCAATAATAATAAAAAATAGAAAAAGACAACTTGCCTGTATAAAATTTGGTTGTCTAAACCTGACATATTACCCACCTTTTTTCTTCTTCCTCTAAGCTCTTTTCGCAGAATATCGAGATTCTTAAAAGAAAATGTTAGAAACTTTTGTTTTCATATGGTTGATATTTTTTATTTATCTAAAGTAAAATTTGAAAAAAAAAACAACCTAAAAAGGAAAGAAGATAAAAAAAAAAAGAAATGAAGAAGGAAAAACTATGCATTCTTCTTCCTATAAAAAATAAAATAAAAAAATAATAGAAATTCATGAAAAATAACACATGAATATATAATGCGTAAACAAATGGATATTAAAATCAATATTTCTCATACCTTTGTATGCACGCATAAGAGTTGCCTGCAATTTTTGCATCACTTTTTTCTCACATTGATATCCCAAAATTCAATGCAAGAAGTCTTATAGCACTTGTTCTGAGGACATATTCACTCAATGGATGGAATTATGCTAATATTGTGCAGATAACTGAAATGATTCAAAGAAATGACTGCTTATAGTTTTCACTTCATCCTATCTGTTCTTGGAGACATTCCAAGAATTGAACTTGCTAGAACTTTAATTTGGGGATGATTTCCAAATTTAACTTTCTCCCTTTTATTCACTTCTTGGAAACCAAAAAGATTATCACATTAACCATCATCCAGATTAGAATTGCACGTTTAGATATAAGATATTACTTCAGTAAAATGTTGCTTCCTCCAAATAACCAACTCTAACGTGCGTTTTTGCAAGCAGGCGAAGTGCAATTGCTTCTCGTCGTGACTATAGTATGATCTTTTTTTTATAAAATTTTGGATCATATGTTCTGTTTCATATCCATGTTGGTTGTTGGATCAGTTTCTGCCCTTAAATATTCAATATTTAGAGTAGTTGAGGAGTTTTGCAATATTAATATAGTGATTATCGCGATATTATTGTAGTGACTACTAAAGTAAATTGATACTATTTGGATTTCTCAGAGAAAGCAAACGACAGTCAGCAATAATTATATGATAAATTCAATTAAATAAATTACCTACCCTAAACCGATGGAAAGCAAACAGACAATTTTGGAATGGTTAAATAGGATTGTAGGACATGACTTTTGGGTTTTCTTAAATATCATACTATATGGGAATATGCCGAAAAAGTAGGTAAAAACTCAAAATTTGAGAAAAAAGATAAATGTGATTCTTGGCCTAAGAGAGGTGCCAAGTCATCTCTTTCATGCCCTCTTATATATATATATATATATATATATATATATATATATATATATATATTGTATCGTTTGATGAATACAATGTTTGGATAGACTGTATCGTTTGCCATCGTTTCATGATATCACGCACCAGCAATGTAACGACCCGACCGGTCGTTTTGAGCTCTAGCGTGTCGTTCGGTGGTTTGAGGCCATAGACAGCTTCACTTCAGGTATTACGACTTGTTCGCATGGTCGAAATCGAAATTCGGGAAGTTCGGAGTTGATTTGTAAAGAAAATTCTCATTTCAGAAGCTTTAAGTTGGAAGATTCTGACTAAGGTTGGATTTTAAGTAAACGACTTCGGAATCGGGATTTGAAGGTTCCAACATGTGTATATGATGATTTTGGACTTGGGAGTATATCCGGATCGGATTTTGGATGACCCGGGAGCATTTCGTCACCTATTGTGAAAGTTAGTATTTTGGAAGAATTTCATAAATTTGAGTTGATGTGCATTTTAATATTATCGATATCCGTTTGGGATTCCGAGTATGGGAATAGATCTGTATGGCGATTCTTATATTGGGAGCGCGTCCGGAAGTGGATTCGGAGGTCCATAGGTCATTTTGGGTCATTTGGAGAAAGTTAGAAATTTGAAGGTTTTCGAGGAATTTGACCGGAAGTGAAATTTTTTTATATCGGGGTCGGATTCCAATTTTGGAAGTTGAAGTAGGTCCGTAATGTCAAATGTGCTTGTGTGTAAAATTTGAGGTCAATCGGACATGATTTGATAGGTTTCGACATCGAATGTGGAAACTGGAAGTTCTAAAGTTCATTAAGCTTGAATTGGGTGCGATTCACATTTTTGATGTTGTTTGATGTGATGTGAGGCCTCAAGCAGGTCTGTGTTATGTTTTGGGACTGGTTTGTATGATTGGACGGGATCTCGGGGGCCTCGGGTGTATTTCAGAGATGTTTGGGTTGTATCGCGCTTTTATTTGATGTTTCGGCGTCGTTTCTTTGGGCATAAAGGGCACTATATTGAGAAAACAACCTTTGATTTGTGATTGGATTGAATCACTAGATCCGTATCGTAATTACGGAGTCATAGCAACAAGAATCGTCAAATTTCGATGTCGTATGAGAGAGTTATGCCCATTTGCATGTCGGATAAAATTACTGGTTTTTGGTGTGAAGATTTATTCTTCGCGAACGCGAGATAGGTTCCGCGAACGCGAAAAAGGATTTCTGGATTGACCGGTCAACATGAAAAATTTCTCTTCGCGAACGCGAAGGCGATGAAGAAAAATCGCTTGATAGTGTTTTAAACCGAGAATTTTAGTATTTTGGGCATATCTTGAGTTTAGAGTTCCGTTGGAGGTGATTTTCGCGGCGTTGTTCTCGTCTCAACAAGGAGGTAAATATCTGATCTTTATTTTGATGTTTTTACATGATTATTTCTGTTAGTTTCTATTTTTATCCGTATTTGAATTGTAGAAATTGAGATTTTGAGCCCCAAAGTTGAAAAATGATAAATCCTTGATTTGAGAGTCGATTCATGGACGAAATTGGATGAATTTTTGGATATAGACCATATGAGTTATGGGTAATATTTATTTTTAATAATTTTCGGAATACGGGTACATGAGCCCGAGGGTTGATTTTATTGACTTTTCGAGCGGAGTTGGGAGTTGTTACAAATTGATTTCTTATGAGTACTAGAGTATATTTTTATTATTTGCACATTGTCTTGAATAGTTTTGGAGTGATGGACACCGGTTTGAGGTGTTAGAGCAATGTTGGATCCTGTTATGGAACTTCGGAGCGAGGTAAGTGTCATTTCTAACCTTGTAAAAGGGAATTAACCCTATAGGTGAACTAAATTATTATGTGCTTTTATTTGTGGGGACTACGTGTGCACGAGGTAACGAGAGTCTGTATGTAGCTACTAGCTATGCCTTTGTCCGGGTAGTTTCAGGCTTATATCATGTCTCGTTGATATTGTTATTGATTTATAATTATTGTTTGCCTTGAGAAGGAGCGAGATTGAGTTTGCTCATTAATTGTTTTGAGAGGAGTTGAAATTGAGGAAGAATTTGGGATCTTAAAAGTTTTCATTCGAACTTCGTATTTTGTAAAGAATGGAAGAAAACTAAATAATAACTTAATAAATCTTTGTGTAACCGCATCGCAAGTATGAATCCGTGAGCGGGGAATTTCCTTAAATTTATATTTGATTGTGCCGCAAGTATAATTCGCGAGCGGAGTAATTCCTTAAACTTATATTTGACCGCGTTACAAGTATGATCCGCGAGCAGGGTAACTCCTACTACTCTCATGGGAGCGGGCCGATCGCCTCGGTAGGTTAATAAATGCATATATGGTTCGCGTCGTTCAACCCTCGGCAGTGCACAATTTACTTTTATGTTGGATCGGGCCGTACGCCTCGGCATTTCCTATATATATTATCCTCATGGAATCGTGCCTAATATTTGGCAAGAAGCCAGTGTATCTGAGGGTTTTCCCCTTATTAGAATTATGACAACCTCTTTGATGAAATCCACTATATCTATATATATGCTCCGGTTACGGGGGGAACTTGCTAGTTGAGAACTTGAGTAAATTGTAAAGAGTGGAATTGTACCACGTATCTTATACTTGTTTGTTTCATATATTTACTCTGTTTCATATTTATTCACTTGTTTACTGTACCTGATATTATTGGACCACTAGCAAGTGTCGAAGTCGACTCCTCGTCACTATTTCTTCAAGATTAGACTGAATACTTACTGGGTACGCGTTAATTTCGTACTCATACTACACTTGTTGTACATGCACATGTACGTCTAGTAGCCTTGTGGGCGCATCGGTGTGATTGATATGGGGACTTAGGTGAGGTGCATCTTATGAGACGATCCGCAGCCAACAGAGTCTCCTTCAGAGTACTTGTATTTTTCTTTTCTATCCAAATTTATATTCCGGACAATTATTGTATTTTATTTTACTTCCTAGTAAATGCTCATGCACTTATGACATCAGGTTCTGGGATGATGATGGGATATTCAGTATTGAAATTGGAAAACATTATTATTATTCTGTAAAGTTCGTCTTTTACTAGTTAAGTTGAAGGAAATTTATGATCTCAAAAATATAAAAATGAGAATTTAATTAACTATTTAGTGTTGGCTAATCTGACAGTGGTGTCCGGCACCGTTACGATCTTTAATGAATTTTGGGTCGTGACAAGCAATTTGAAGAATAAACTTGCAATATTATAAAGAAAAATTATGATACGTGGTAGAATTATTATATAAGAAGATAGGGGAAAGAATAAAATAAGATTATTTATTAATATTGAAGGGCGAGATGAAAGAAAAAAAATAAGGTAACGATGCGATCAGACTAAATCGGTCGTTACATAAAATGACACTTTTCGTCGTTACATAACGACGGATTAAACGATACGATACGATAAAATTTAAATAACAATCAAAACAAACATTATATTTAAAATAACAATACGATACGATATAATAGGTAACAACCATCCAAACAAGTTGTTAATAGTATATAAACATATAGTTCGCATGTCTTAGCTAAAAGGCTTGGGAAATTTCTATACTTTAGAAGAGCAAGACTTTCGACATGTCTGCTTGGAATCTTTTTAAAGAAGCTTGAGGGCACTTCAGTCATTTCTCATCAACTATATACGTGCCCTTTTATGCTCTTTCCAGATATACGTGTACGTTTCTTTGCTACTCCCACATGTATGCTTTTCTTTCTCTTTCAACATATTCCTTAGCAAAGCGCACACAAGAAAAGGCATCAGAGAAACGATCCATAACAAGACCAATTCGAAATCAGGTAAAAATTCCTTTCTGAAGTTCAGATTTGAGTTTAATTCAAAGTTATTTTGCTCGATTATTGCTCTGTATCAACTTTGCTCCTTAGTTTCTAGCTTTTAATCCATGCTTTTTGGTTGACATTTGTTGGCCTGTGAGTTATGTTTGTACCTGAGATTTGCGCTAAATTTTCCCAGTTTCTCTGTCAAATCTCTTGAACTTTCAGGTAAATTTCTTAGTCTTTAATATCAATTTTGGAAATTTTTGAGTTAGGGTTTTGATGGATGAAATTGGGGGAATGTTTTTTTTTTAAAACAGACACTGCTGTGTGAATAAAAATGGGGTTTTGATATTTGATAAAAATCTGTTTTTTCTTTGTGTGTGTGTTTGGGAGTGGAATACAGCATGAGTTTTTGATATTGAAGTTTTTTGTTTGTTATGATATATCAATCCTCAATCACCATGTTTTCCATTTCAATTCATCCTAGGCCAACATTAATACAAAATTAAAAAAAAAAAAGTACAAGAAATTACACTCAATTTTTTTACAATTAATACAAATTTCTTTTTACATTAGAAGAACAGAACTTGAAAAATATGATCACGTAGCAGCAAACAACCTTGTCAATGTTTCTTCTTGGGGCTTAGTGTTCTGGAAGTGGAAGCTGGGCTTGATATCTCCTTAAATGCCGACGGGCAGAATTCACTTACCGTGCATTTTGCACAGCGAGGTCTCAGAGGAGTACATATGGTCTGTCCAAAGCCTACCTGTAAAGGCCATAGCCACAAAACTGAAGTGACAAATAACCAGAGAGGAAGGAACAGATGTAGAAAGTAAATTATGGGTTCATCATTCATCCGAATGCGGTAGATTTGGCTTGGATCCCGTAATTCACTAAGTACAAATAATTCATTCTGAAACTAGTAAATCAAATGAATTGTAGTAGAATTCGAAAGTCAAACTCAGAAAGTTCAAATTGTGGATTCGCCTATGAGAGAGGAGAGAAAATTCATATTCAGCTGACTTGTCCTTACTTTGACCAGTCGAATATTGGAGGCGAAGTTAGTATTTGAAAATTTTGTTGTAAAAGTTAGTCAAAGTGTTACCTTAATAACAAATGAATATTGGAGAAACATTGAAGACCAGGAAAATAGTTTCTCTTCTAGGGAGCAGATATGATTATTGGGTAACCCAATACATGATGTATTGATGTGGGCCAGACAATTTACGTTTTTTATTTGTGGAAATAGTTGAAGGAGAGTTTTGCGCGCCAGAAAATCAACTTGTGTTATCCACAGCAACGATTAGAAAACCCATTCGTTCGACCTGGATGGGAAGATCGGGCATGAAACTGAAGTAAGGGATGACTCATACTACATAGAATAAAAGATTTCAATCTATTGCCTATTTCCACCTATTGAGTGCAGGTCCAGAGACACCTCAAAAGCTGAAGCATAAACATTACTCTAGCTCTAGGTTGCAAATCAAAATTTTTGAGAAATTTGAGGCTGATCGAGCATTGATATTGCCGGCTTTCATAATGATGTGGTTCAACTGATAGCAAAAGAAAAAGAGCATTTTGTGTTGCTAGTGCTGCCAACTAGAGAATCTAAAATGAAGCCCTGGATGTTAGCTCAATGCAGTCAAACCTCTCTATAAAACATTAAAACCTCGTTTGTTCCGGATAATTTTTGGCTTATTATAGCGAAGTATTGTTATAGAAAACACATATTATTAACATAGCTTGAATATTAGTTCCAAAGAAAACTTGGCTGTAATAGAGCATGGCTGTAATAGAGAGGCTAAACTGCATATACCAAGAAGCAATAAGCAAACTTTCATATTGATTCTGAATTGGAACTGATAGGACAAAGGTGACAATTAAGATGTACTTGAGCTTCAACAGTAAGGACCAAAATACATAGGAAAGGCGGATAATCAACGGTACTTCAGAGAATGATGCATACGTACCAAAAGCAAATTAATGGAAACCCATTCTTCTTTAGGAAGCCACTGCTGCAAGGAGACCCTAGTCTCTTCGGGTGATCTAGTTCCCTGACAGAGTCAAACAAGAATTGAGTGCTTTGAGTATTTTCCAAAAAAAAATTTGGTCCGAGTCTAAACATATCATTATTATGAATTACTTGCATCAGACTCAGTTGGGAAAGGTGATGTTTGAAATCAGAAAGAGCTGCTAAATGTATACTAAAAAATAAAGAAACCTACACCAAAATATGGTTCTAAACAAAAGATATCACATAATCTATACAAATAGGGATCTCATCAGTACACCAAAAAGAAGATAGACACAAGAGGTCTATTTTTCAACTTTATAAAGTCATTATCAACCCCGTCAAATGCTCTCCTATTTCTCTTTTCATAACCCACACAAGGGCTGGAGCAATGTCCTACGCCCTCGGTTATCTCTTCCTTCTTCTGTAAGCCCAACTAAACAACACGTCTTCCACTATACTCGGCATCACCCACTGTATTGCCAGCCAATTCAGATCTACCAACCGAAATTCGCAGCCACCTAACAATGTAATAGGAAATGTTCTACATCTTCACTGAACATCTGCACCTGAAGCACCAGCTAACACGGTCATCCTCCTCTTTCTCAAGTTCTTCGCTGTCAGTATCATTCCCTTTGCTGCCAACCACACGAAGAAACACACCTTCCTGTGTGCCGAGCGAACCCAAATTGAAAGGTATGGGAAGGTCACCTCCTCCCTAACAAACTAACTCTTGAAATAAGACTTAATTGTAAATAAGTTGTCCCTATTCTAGTCCCATCTCCATAAATCCGAGGTAGCATATGGTACCCTCTGTCTATACAGTAAATCAACCAAGTTCTAAAATTCATCCAACTCCCGATCCTAGAGGTTCTTCCTAAATCTCAAATCTGCAGTATATAATAATTTTGACCATCTCACTTGGTGATGGAAGTTCACCCAAGTTGCAGTGCCACAATCCTCTAACTAGCCGTGCCTTCTCCGATTCAGTCAGAGGGCTAATCTGTTCGGCCAAGCGATCTTTTTTTCTTTAATCTTGCAAAACTCAAGTTGATCCAAGGCGCTTTCGATCTCAGACCAATTCCCTGGATCTTCTGGCTCCTCCCTGTGAGCTCAAATAAGACATTCTTTTCGTCGAGTGACTTCGTGCCCGGTCTTCCTATTCCCTTCCCTTTCCCTGTCGCTGCCTCTAAGGCCCAAGCCAATGAAGTTCGTTCCTGGTCTTCCTACATATGTTTTACACTTACCTTTCAAAAATGTTACTATAATTTTAGCAGGCTATAATTAAAAATAAAGAATTAGTTTCAAAGATTTGTGCACATATAACATAGCGTATGCCCCCACATTGTAGTTGCTCATTACAGCGGTGAAGCTTCGTCTTCAAATAGAATTAAGCATACCTGTTTTTTCCCAGGCTGCGAGACCCAACCAAGCCGATTACTAACACGATGCACATGGGTATCTACACAAATCCCTTCAACTTTGTTCCATGCCATAATCATAACCTAAAGGAAAAGCTATTTAAATAACTTAGGAATGTGCAGTGAAAGGAAAATGAGAGAAGCATAATTTCCTACCAGGTGAGCTATCTTGGGACCAACACCTGGAAGTAGAAGCAACTCGTCCACTGTACCAGGAATGTCTCCATCATATTTAGAGACACAAATTTTTGCAACTTGTTTAAGATGCCGAGCCTTTCTTGTGTAAAATCCAACCTGACAATACAAGTTGGTAAGTAATTCCACAGGGCAAATGACAAATTTAATTGAGACCAACCCAAATACAATTTATCATAAATGGACATCATTGAGCACATACCGGATATATCAAGCTCTTAATGGTGACTTCATCAGCTTTATTCATTGAGTCAGCACTCAACAAACCATTTTCGAGGAGCCGCTGATTCGCTTCTGCAGATTCAGAGGACATCATTTCATACCGATATAGAGGCAGAGAAGAATATGACAACCTCATAAAATTGTGGAACACTTCCAACGAAACAGATTAATGTCTGACTTCAAGTAATCATCTCCTTAAAAGGTTCAGCGCAAAATCTTTTTCTGCTAATCATATCAGTATTCTCCTAGTTACCCCATTTTGATAGAATTGTTTTTTTATGACAAGTTATTCATGAGGATGAGGGCATAAGAAAATGGGGGTATCAAGGACAGAAGTCGCTGGCTACAAAAGCAAGGAGTTTGATATACTCAGTAAAGGGATCTCACTACCTTATATAAATCTTGCAGCAAATCAAGTATAAGACCACAATTATATTGACAAAATAAAAAGAATTTAGGTAGTAAGAAGACAAAAGAAATATCAGAGTAACCTCTTTGATAGGAGGAGGAACAGTTTTCCACATTAATCAGAAGATTGTATGGACACATACATTTCTAGTACTTAGGAGTCATTCTTATGGAGGCCATGCGAGTATAACTAGTGCAGACGCTACAAGAAATTTCTCATTGATTTGGATAACAAAAGCGGTAGCAAACAAATCTGGATAGGTCACTAATTCATTCAGAAGACACAACCTATCATAAACAGAACATGAATGTAGTCCTACAAAGAGATAATCACATTCTTAACAAGCATCATATAGCTGAAACCTCCAACATTAGTAATCTCAACACTTGCCATGTGTAACATGACCCTTGGTCTGACTTGATAGCAATGAACCAACCAGAACAGCGAATCTTCTTTCCTGATGAGGTTGTGAACATAAAAAGTGAAGAAGAAAATAGCAATCACCATCAACCATCCACAACTATCCAGCAACTACAAAATGACTAAGTTGAAAAGATAACAATGTATAACATCCTATTAGAAGCGTTAAAACATTATACATGCTTACTCATAAAAAAGGTAAAAGGACATTTCCGTTCTCAACTTATTCTTTTATACGAGTACTCGATTCTAGATATCTTAACCAAGAAGACAACCACTAACCAAGCATCAAGTCTGCAAAGATGTATGCACCTTAGGTTGAAGAGAAGTCACTCCTTCATCCGGGTCAATGGAGTCCACAGGTGCATGTTCTGATGACCTCATTCTGCGTATCCCTTCAATGACCCTTTCCCAGTTGGCAGGAGGTTGTACTGCATCAAATTGGCCAAAATTTTAGTCCTACACCTTTACAGAACCGATCCATAAGTTATGTTTAACCAGAGAACTATCCTCAATGATTAAAAGAAATAAACAAAGAGTTACAAACAAATAAGAGATCAAAGTCCTTTTCTTTCAAATGGGTATAAAGACAATATGCAAACTGGTAATATCGGAAAAGATGCTTTCAAAGAATAAAAGAATTCTGAGGATGGTGAATGATTTATGCTCATGATAATAAACCTTAAGGTAAAAAAGAACAAAAAACAAAGGAGAGAGAGAGCGAGTGAAAAGGCAATATAAATCTACAATGATCATGTAGTTCTCCATGAGGGATTTGGGTAAAGACACGCTATTTTGCTCATGCAGCCGCAGGTGCAAGTAAGAAGTGATGCGCTTGTCTTGTCAAAACACGATATCACTTGTAATCATCATATATAGAGTTTCCAGATGACATCATATCTCTGCTTGTCAGCCCACCAACATCTACTGTTCACTTCTATTTGTCATCCTTGGAATACAACTTAATAAAGAGATACCAAGCTGAAAATCCACTCCCTCACCCTGCCCAAAACCCACCATGAGAGAATTAGTCTAACGTCTCTGTGGTTTCTTAGACCTGAAGGAGGTCAATGGCCTAGTCTTAAACCATAAGGTGGTAATCGAAAGGCTTTAGATTTGCCAGACAGAACATGAGTAGATAAATATGCATCGAACTATATGGAAGTAACATAATCAACAGCGGAATCAACCTTTCTATATGGAGATATAGCTAACAAATTACTGTGCAAAGTTCCATATCATATGAAAACTAGAAAAACAAAAAACAAGGAATCGCAAATTGACATGGTACTCACTAGACTGAGAATAAATATTGCCACTATTATTTGCAAAATCTTCAATTTCTGGATGCCTGAGAAACTGCAAGAAGTTAATGAAAAACATGATTTGTTTTCCCTCTCGCAACCTCAAGAACCAATGATCATATAGTGATAACTAAAAATAGCCTGTGAAGTACATAGACAACAGAAAATTTTCCTCTTCAACAAATGGACTTCCCAATTTTGCTTGTTAAGCGTATAACAAGATCATCTTTGACTTAAACTTTGTAATAACTAATTCAATGTTAGTAATGTGCTTGATCACTCTCAGATAGGTGAATCAGATCTTTCGGAAGCAAAATGGGACGATCAAATTGGATTGAGAGTACAATTAAATTGTGTGATGAAATGGAGCTAAAAGCGATATCCCTGAACTTATTAATCCAGGTGCGAAGAAAAGCCTGCTATATTTCATATACATTTCATGCTATCTTTAAAAAAATCCAGAAAGAAGCTCAGATACATTAAAGAATAACAGTTTTAGCTAGTAGGTTCTAGAAATGCTCTATTTTATCAGATACATGGACGCGATAGCGTACACGCATAAGATACGGGTAGGTTCACTTTCTTTTTACATTTTTAATGCATCTTGTAGGATCCATATAAAGTTCCGATACCTACTTCAAACCCTTTCAATAGCAACGTCAAATATGACTGCATAAAGATAGAACGACAGGATATAGGTACGTCAAGGAAAGATGAAGAGACCGTGTAACAAAGCCTTCACTAGTATTGTTTTCTTAGCCAATTATGAAAAATCTTCAACCTGAAGATTTCTGAAATATCCATCAGTATTGACCACTGTCTAAGCCACTAGCATAAGCTTCTATATAGACTGATACTAGGCAGAAACAAGATATCAAGTTGACAAAGCAGAGAATTTCCGGTCCTTGAGGACAAGTACTAGGAGATATCATAACTTATTTGTTATAAAGTACAGACTGACTTGTATCAACGGAGGTTACAATTATCGCCAAGAATATTCTACAGTTATATCATACACTATAAATATTTCTCCTCAAATTCACAACCATTTAGAGGGAATAAAATTTTACTCTTTCCTATATAACGGATTAACAATCAATCAAGGCAGTGAGTCCCTCATATGAATACTCCACTAAATAGTAACCATTTCAAGAATTTCCAACAAGAGGGCCACTAGATGGTTAACTCACTTGATCTATAGGCAACATAACACACTCGCAAGAGTCAAACGTACTCAGATGAACATTTACTGACGGTATAAAAAATATTTACACAATTAGATCACTTAAAAAGGTAATAATTGCAGGTTACTCTATTTAATAAAATTGATTTTTCACCTAATATGAATGACAAGTAACCAGTTACAACAAGTTAAATTACACTGATGGTATAAAAAATTCATTACACTGTCAATGTATCTAAATTCTTTTTAACAAATATTCATGATCTACTTCATAGTGGCTCCCATTCAAGCTAAATTCTCTCACACACAAAATTCACCAAAAAACATGGAGGAAAAAAAAACAAAAACATAATTATGAAATAAAACCTTAACGATAAAAGAATTGATCATTATCATAAAATAATCATACTTTTTGATCAGGAGATTCTGTCTTAACCTCTTTGGCTATCATTTCCACACTCCTTTTTCTCACTCTATTCTTAGGTACAACACCACCAACTTCAGAACCTAAAATTAAACAATTTTAATGATTACATAAACCCTTCATTCCAAAAAGACATGTAAGTAAAAGAAAATAAAAAGCTCTTCTAAATTTACAAGGCAAAAAGAAACACACATTTAAGCTGAAATTTTGGTGCACCTGAGTCTTGTCGCATGGTGGAGAGACGTGTTTTTGGCATTTTGGTTAAGGAGATGAAGAAATATTGAATTGGCAATGGAACTGCTGAGGTGAGATATGGAGTGTGTCGGAGAAGAGAGAGGGACATTTTTGGAGGGACTTTACTGGCGAGAGTTTAAGCCACGTCTCTTTAACTAGAAATGTTAACAACTAGGAACTTGGCATTATTTAGGTCTCACTTTTTGGTATCAAATGCCCAAAAGTAAACAAGATTAACTAGAAGTATTGAATTTACTAGAATAGATTATTTACTTCACATCTAATTAGGTTTTATTTATTAAAACTATATTGGAATAGGTTTTATAATCAGTTAAATTTGGTTTTGTAGTATTTTCTATGCAACGAGATTCAATTATCATGGAACAAAAAAGCCTCCTACCCATTTTCTCTCTAGCTTGATAAGTTACTTCTATACAACATTTGTTGAATTTTTTCACGTGTGCCTAAATTGTTCTTTGGAGTATTTAAGTCCTTCAAATTAGTATTAGATCATGTGTGAGATATTATTATAGTCTGTTTGAGACCCTATAAATATATTTAAAAAAAAATATGAATACTGAACGTGTGTGAGAGAAGAGAGGGGGGAGGACAAGGGTACTAACTAGGAGAAATATAAAGAAAAAGTTAAGGAGATGTCGAGAGACAAATATAGAGGCAAACGTAGGCAGCAAGATAGAGGTCATGATAAGAGTAAGGATAAGCGGAAGGATGATATGCAGAGAGTAGATGATGAAGATTCTGATTATCAGGATATGACAAAGCAAGAAATTGTTTCTTATGAAGATGATGATACGGCACAAAATAATGCAGTTAAAAAGGCTGGATCATAATCTTCTGCTTTAGAACTAGAGGAACACATATTGAAGATGAAGAAAGAAATAAAGGTGGAAGAGAAAATCAAAAGATGCTTCTAAGGAGTTGGCATCGGTTAGCAAGAGCTGTAAGATTGAGGAGAAAAGGAATGTCGATATAACGACCTGACTGGTTGTTTTGAGCAATTGCGCCTGGTTCGGCAGTTTGAGATCTCGAGTAGATTCATAATATGTGTATCAACTTGCGTGCATGGTTAAATTCAGTTAACGAATGATTCTGAGTCAAATTGGAAGAAGGAAACTAGTTTTGGAAGTTTAAACAGTGAGAATTTGATCGGAATTGGACTTTTGAGTAAACGGCCCCGGATTTGGAGGTCCGTAGGGTAATTTGAGGTGTTTATATGAAAGTTGGAAAAGTTGAAGTTTGGAAAATGGAGAGGTTTGACTCATAGTTGACTTTTTTGTTATCGGGGTCGGAATACGATTCTGAGAGTTGGAACAACTCTGTTATGTCATTTTGGACTTGTCTACAAAATTTGCCGTCATTCCGGATTGATTTGATAGGTTTCGACACGAGTTTTGGAAGGTCTGAAAGTTCCTAAGTTTGATTCTTGGTGTGATTCATTGTTTCAGCATTGTTTGATGTGATTTGAGACCTCGAGCGAGTCCCTGTTAGATTATATGACTTGTTTATATGTTTGGACGGGATCCCGGGAGCCTCGGGTGTATTACAGGTGGGCTACGAGTCATTTTCCTCCTATTTTGAACTTTTGAATCTGTCATCTGGTTTCCTTCATCGCGTTGCGTCCTTGCCTTCGCGTTCACGTAGTGTTACTTCAGAAGGTGAGTTATTTCTTCTTCGCGTTCGTGTTCAACCTCTCGCGTTTGCGAAGGTCTGCCTTCCCCTTCTTCGCGTTCGCAGCCCCTCCATCGCGTTCGCGTAGTAGAAATTAGGAGTTGGAGGCTAGTGGCTATTTATTCTTTGCGTTCGCATCATTTTACCCGCATTCGCGTAGCTTCTGTTTCTTACTCTTCGCGTTCGCGTCTCTTAACTCACGTTTGCGTAGGGACTTTTTGGCAGCCTCATTCTTTTCTTCTTCGCGAACGCGAACCCTTCTCCGCGTTCGCGATGCTTTAACATCTGGGCAGAATATAAGTTTTCCAAATCAAGGCTTAGGCCATTTTTATCATATTTTGACTCGGGGAGCTCTGTTTTGAGCGATTCTTTGTGGGTTTTTCAAGCAAAACGATTGGATAAGTGTTCTTCACCTAGAATTGATTACATTCCATGATTTTGTCTTCATTTTTATCATTTAGTTTGTAATTTGGGTTGAGGACAATGTTGGTTTTTGAAGGAAATTTCTAAAATAAAAAATATGATTTGAGGGACCAAATGGTATAGGAATTTAATAAATTTTGTATGGTTGAACTCATATTAGAATGGGCATTCGGTTTTTGCAAAATTTGTCGGGTTCCGAGGCACGAGCTCGGGGGTCGACTTTTGGACTGATTTTTGAATTTGTTAAAGATTGAGACTTTATGGTCCGGAATAGTTTCTTATGTATTTTATTTGTGCTTTGAAGTTAATTTGGTTAGATTTGAGCCGTCCAGAGGTCTTTTCACCCGAGAAGTGCATTTTAGAATATCGGTTTGTCGTCTTTGAGGTAAGTATCTTGCCTAACCTTGTGTGGGGGACTTCCCCTTAGGATTTGAGTCTTCTATGCTAATTATAGTCCGTGCATGTGAGGTGACGAGTGTGTGCTCGGACTTATTTGTGGAAAGTTTTCCTCTAGGGTTCTTAGGTCCTTATATTCATTATGTGGAAAGTATCCCGTCATGATTGGGTTTTCTAATTGCTTAAATTGCCTCTATATGCTCCATATGATGTTGTTAGCTTTCCTCTAATTCTTACGTGTTATTTGACACTTAATTGTCTTAATTGGAGTGATTGCCTTCCTTATTGTTTTGATACCTCTTGATTGTGAGTTCCTCTATGACTTTGTGCAAATATGTTACATGTCCAATTATTGTGGTTAGCGGTGTAGTTATTACGTGCTTATTATGTCTTGTTGTTTTGTTGAGGTTTTCGTGCTTCTTGGTTTTTTTGTGATCCTTATTATGTATTATTCCTGCTTAAATTGATGATTATTCATGTTGAACAAGACTTATGACATTCTCTTGGTAATTGTCCATTGTTGAGTATTGACTCGAGTTGAGATCTATATTGCGAAGCTAATTGTTGAAACAAGATTGGTTATTGTTGATTCCCTTGCCGGGAGGTTATTGTTTCTATTGTTGATTCCCTTGCCAGGATCTTATTGTTTCTATTGTTGATTCCCTTGCCGTGATGTTATTGTTTCTATTTTTTGGGTGAGTAAGAGTATAAAGCACGAAGGGTGATGCCGTACATGATATTGTGAGGAAGAGTGTAAAGCACGAAGGGTTATGCCGTGTATGATTTTGTGAGTGAATGTTAATGCACGAAGGGTGATGTCGTGCCGATATTGTGAGTGTAAAAGCACGAAGGGTGATGCCGTGCCATATTATTGAGAGTAAACGCATGAAGGTTGATGTCGTGCCACATTATTGAGAGTAAAAGCACGAAGGGTGATGTCGTGACATGATTATAAGAGAGTTAAAACACGAAGGGTGATGCCATGCACTTTCTGTTTGTCATGTTTATTTGTGGTTATCAATTCAAGTGTTTTAATTATTCAGATTNATATATATATATTTCAGTAATTCAAATTTCAATAATTGTGTCATTTTTAATTCAATTAGTTACTCAATTATATTCTCTTAAACCGTCTGAGGTTATATTTTACTTAAAAAGGAATTTCTACTAAGTTAATTTCTTAAATCCCATGTTAAAGATAATACTTCATTCGTTGTGATATTTTAATTGCAAATGGTACTTTCTTTATTCAAATGATTTCTAAAAATAATTTCATCTTTTCTTGCTGAGTTCCTACTTAGCTTAGAAGTTGTACTCTACTTTATATTATGTAAATGAGACTCCTTGAACATCTTAATTGCATTAGTTATGGACCCTATGTACTGAGTAACATGAGAACGTTGTTGTGCAAAGAGAGATAGAAATATGTGGGCACAAGGTGCCGGGTGTGGTAAAAGCTTGGTAATTGAGGTTATGATATGAGACATCGAGTTTGAGATGGCTGGAATTGTGCATCAGAAACGATATGATTTATTGAGCTGACATCGCCTTCCTTGTTTGAGTACATTTTTACTTGTTTGTGTTCCAACTATGTTGGTGTTAATTTATTTAGTTATCTTTCGTTTTCATCCGTGTTTCTCTTTATTGTTTCTACTGATTGTATAGTTTGTTCTTTCCCTGTTGTTGATATTACTTTGTCATTTTTAGGTTGATAGTTTATTATCAAATCATGTTCAATTTATTTGACCAGTAGGTGTCTGGACTGTTCCTCGTCACTATCCCACCGAGGTTAGTCTTGATACTTATTGGGCACCGCCGTAGTGTGCTTATACTACACTTTTGTACATTGAGTACAGATCTAGGTATTCGATCAGTAGTAGCTATGCGGGTCATTGCGGTGGAGATTCAAGGTAAACCTGCTACAGCGTTCGCAGGCCTCGGAGTCTCCTTCATTTGTACTTATTTCCATTTGTTCCTTTATTTCAGAATAGTGATGTATTTATTTTGTATAACTATTCTTAGAAAGGCTAATGACTTGTACCATCGGTTTTGAGAGTTGTAATTTGTTAAGAACTATTTAATTTATTGTTAGCAAATATCAATGTTATCTTAGTTAATGTAGGCTCACCTAGTTTAGAGACTGGGTGCCATCACGACTCCTTCGGAGGGATTTTGGGTCGTGACAAGTTGGTATCAGATCTCTAAGTTCATAGGTGCTATGAGTCATAAGCAGGTTTAGTAGAGTCTTACGGATCGGTACGGAGACGTCTGTACTTATCTTCGAGAGGCTACAGAACTGTTAGGAAATTCCACTTCTTTCACTCCTTATCATGCGATATTGATTCAGCTCGAAGTATATGACTTATGTCCCTTTACATTCACTCGTGTATAATATTACGCTCTCAGCGTTCGCTATATGCTAGTGGTTTGTGATGCTACAGACGGGCTACGAAGGAGTCAGGCATTATCTCAATGTGCTATCCAGACTGAAGATACAGAGGTATTGAGAGGCTATTCAGTTGTTCGTATGGAGGCACAATAGTTTCTGACATCTGGTTGATGAGTGCGAGCTTGGAAAGGTTTAATTGGTTGACTAGTCATTGCGATTGTGACAAGGTCACGAGGTG